ATCAATATATGACAAAGATATTTATGTAGCCAATAGGTATTAGCTTACCATCAACTTCATTCCCAAGCATTTCTTCAGCATCTAGAAATGATAATAAATAAATAATGTCTGCTATGAAAAATTGTAAAATTGTGACTCAATTGGTGAGTCCTCAAATGTTAAATTAATAGTTATTTACCAAAGGAATTCTCTTCAAAATGTGGACGCCCTGCATACAAATAGTCATATTATTATTTAATAGACAATAATAATAACTTACTTAGACTGTAAGCAGTAGCAATGAAGCAACTAATGACAAGAAGGACAGCAATCTTCATTATTGTACTGGATATATATATATATATTATTGATAATAATATACTCAATAATCAAACTGTAGACTGTGATGGACTGTAGAGCAAGAACAGCTTACTTTTATACCATAGGTATACCATTAGAGGAACTAGTGCTTGGCATTCATTTACTTTCAGATGACTATCTCTCCATCAATTGTTAGTGTAGGACAATAGCAATAGAACAATGATATACATACTTCCTTCAATTGTTGTTGTTGTTCAGTATCATAACAATAGTCAATTGTTAGTCCATCACTATCAATAGGATCAGATGTCCAATAGTATCTTTCATAATGAATATCCTGCCAGTAGTAGATATACTTTTATGTGTACTGTAGACAAAGATGTGTAAGTATAACCAAATGGAAAGAAAGAGAACTGATTAATCATCAAACCTGTTCTTTCTTGCTATTTTGAGAGCAGCTTTAAAATCATGAGCAATTGAACGAGAGGTCTTTAACTCTCGTCTCAAATCATTGATCTCTTTTAATAGAGACACATTTTCCTAAAAACAATTCATTATGTAATAATGGGTACACCACACACCCTCAAGTACAGAGAATGTCTTATTGACCTTCAGTTACTACCTCTAATGTATCATCATGATTTGAGGGATGTATTGTTTATTGTCAAGTGTCTTCTGAGTTCACCTTACAATTTTGATATCCTCCAATAATATGTCTCCTTTTCTACTCATAGCTATTGCTGGCAAATTGAAGGTGAACTTCTGAAGAACATTTACCATGTGCCACCTTTACTTTAACCATGTTATGAGGCACTGAATGGTTTACATTTTTATAATTCATTCATTGTATTTGTCTGTCATCTCCAATGATCACTCATGCAAGCTGTTATTTCACTTATTCATTGATTATTATATTCATTTATTTCTTTTCTGGCTGCAACACATGTTGTTGTTGTTGTCCATCAGTATATTCTCTGTCCTTTGTCTTTTGTTTCCTCCTCTCTATGTCCTATACTGTTAAGTTCATAATAATAATAATAATACTATAACTGTGAATGGGTCGGAAATATAAACCACATGATCTGTCATTGATTATTGCTTTTGTTATAACTGATTTTACTGTTGCTTTTTTTGGATAAGATATTATTACAACAATTCTATTATCATTAATGATGCAGCAATACTGGCATTAACATGAGTTGTGCTAACAACAAACCAAGATCCATGCACCATGGTAACCAGGACCTCCTCCCTTATGTTTCCATTTGGCTATACTTACATCTTTGTCTACAGTACCCACAAAAGCATATCTACTACTGGCAGGATATTCATTATGAAAGATACTATTGGACATCTAATCCTATTGATAGTGATGGACTAACAATTGACTATTGTCATGATACTGAACAACAACAACAATTGAAGGAAGTATGTATATCATTGTTCTATTGCTATTGTCCTACACTAACAATTGATGGAGAGATAGTCATCTGAAAGTAAATGAATGCCAAGCACTAGTTTCTCTAATGGTATACCTATGGTATAAAAGTAAGCTGTTCTACTCTACAGTCTATCACAGTCTACAGTTTTGATTATTGAGTATATTATTATCAATAATATATATATCCTGTACAATAATGAAGATTGCTGTCCTTCTTGTCATTAGCTGCTTCATTGCTGCTGCTTACAGTGAGAGTCTAAGTAAGTTATCATTATTATTGTCTATTAAACAATTAATGACATACATTTATCCATAGGACATCCACA